TACTCTTAAAATGTTGGCAGCATAAATATACATAAATGTCAGTGGCTCCCCATCTAGATATGACAATCAAAATGCCCCCTATATGTATGAGCTACAGCACATAGTCCTTAGTAGGCCATGGTTGTGGGATCAGTCATCTTATGGAATTTAACTTTCTACAGAAAAATCTAGTTACATAACACTAATGTGGATATGTTCTGAGCCATGTGTCATTAGGTGATTTTTGCATGTGTGAACCACAAAGGGTATATTTGCAAAACTAACTTTTATGATGTTGCTATTCAATAATCTCTTATGGGACCACCCTTGCATATGTGGTCTGCAATTGCTGAAAACTTCATGTGGCATATAGCTGTGTTCCATTGCCATCAGCTGAAAACTCTTCCTTTGTTGTCTAGTCTATTCCTTGTCTCTCTCATGAGTGAGAGGCTATAATGATCCAGTTCAGCTGCAAGGCCATGACTAGAAGAGATCAAGGGCACATTCCATTGATGGTCATGTTGCTGTGCCTCCTTTCTATACAAAGGGCAGCTTATTACATGTATATTTTATAATATATTTTAAAATCATTATAAAGTTTAGACGGATTTTCTTTCAGTATTCTAGACACACAGTACCCTTGTAAATAAGAATCTATAAAATCATTCTCTTAGTATTACATTTTTCAAACATGTATAAATATACTGTGTGATTTGAGTTCCAAGGGTTTTACAATGTTTTTTACTTGGAAATCAAATTTTATATCTGAAAGGTTAATGGAGAAAACTAATTATGCTATCTGCTAACCAAATGTGTGATGAGACATTTGTCTCTGTAATTAAGAGCAAGGAACTTTTATAGTTTCATAAAATCGAATGCTACATAGAGTATTCTGTGAGCATTTGTTTGGATGAGGTGTCCAAAACAGAGATGTTTATGGATGATATAAAGTTGAACTGAAATGTAATGCAGGTGTCTGTGTATCTTACAACATTTCTCATTGTTGAGATGGAAGCCAGAAGATTAATAACTTTACTTTGTCATGATAAAATAAGTAATGTGTTCTTGGAACAGTAGTACGGTACATAAGTTACTCAGTAATTCCAAGAATTTATTCTGTTCCAGGAATAATATCCTTAACAATTTATTTTTACAGAAAAAAAATTTGATGCAACATAACAGACTATGAAGTTGCTTGTATGGTTAATGGAATTATATCTCAAATATGACTTTACACCTACATATAAAATGTAAAGAACTCCATCAAAACACAAGGTTAAGGTGCAACTTAAAAGCAAAAAGTCAGGAGACGTAGAAGTTTAGGTTCTTCTGTTAACATTAACTCATTCTCATTGCACATATATAATTTTTTCGATTACTAGCAAGACTTTAATGGGTACCTTAATATGCATTGCATAAAATATAGCTAGGGAGTTGTTGCTGCAGGACTGTTAGCTTTAGCATTTTTCCACAAGTTCAATGTTCCTTTTTGAACTCTGGAAGCAGGGCCTGGTGTTGGTGGAGATGTGTGACCCCATCTGGCCCAGATTCCCCAGGTTTACTATGGTCATTTTGGACAAGAAGCTTAGACTCCTCTCTTGTCAACTGTTTCCCACCTATCATCTTTGATGAACTGGAAAGAAGATATAGATGAGATACATTCCATGGGGAATGCTTTTCTAAGACGAAACAAATAAATAGTGGCTTCTGCTTGCCATCACCTTGTACACTCCATGGAGGAAAGAAGAATTTCTTCCAAAGATGCTTCAGATTTGGGTTTACTTCTTATAAATCAGTATTGTTGTTGTTTCCAGCTTTCCTCAATGGTATCAAGTCTGTTACTAGAATTGATTTACTTTTGTATTCAGTTTGCACATATCTATTTAATAGCCCCTAGTGCCGGGCTAGGAGATTTTAAAATCCATTAGGTTGTGATAAAGGAAAATAAGGATTCTGCGGAAACATAGAACAGAGGGACCTCACTGGATATGGACTTTTGAGAAAATGACATTTAGGCTGAGACCTGAAGGCAGAGTATAGGGGCAGCATCTTTGGAGGCCAGGATGTAAAGGCTGTCCTGAACAACTGGAAGACCTTTATTATATCTAAAGCAGAAGGCCCTCTGGCTATACATGACAGTCACTAATTAGATTCCGATTGAATTGTTCTGAAGGGAGGCCTGGGCACTGGTATTTCTTTTTTTAAAGTTGCTTAGGTGATTCTAATGTGCAGTCAGACCTGAAAACTATTACTATAGAATAAGGGGGAGATTTGTAGGTGCTAAACCTGGAGAATTGGGCAAGGAGACCACTGAGCCACGTTAGGGAGTTGGGGCTCTGTCCTAAGGCTATTGGCATTCCATAATTACATGATGTAATTAGATTTGCATTTTTGAAAGATCACTCTAGCTTCAGGTAGAATCAGTTGCAATGGAGTGATCCTGAAGGCTTTTGGTAGCAGCCCCGTATCAAGTGATAACGGGAACAGGGTGGTGGTAGAAAGAAGTGGGGAGATTCTAAAGTAATTTAAAAGTTATAAGAAACAGGACTGAATGATTGACTATAAGAGGAAGGGATAACTTCCAACTTTCTGTTTTGGACAGCTGAGTTAGTACCATTTACTAAGGTTTGGGGATGGTATGGTTGCATCAAAATACATTTTCAGATATGAGTTTAGGATTAATTTTGAGATGTTTGGGTGAGGTCTTCCAATAGATAATTGAGTGTATGTGTCTGGGCAGAGTTGTTGCATACAGATGGTCACTCAAGCCAGGAGACAGCATCAGTAGATCCAGAAAGAATGTGGAGGGCAAGAAGATACCTAGTTCAGTGTCCTAAAAATCTTGGTCTGCGAGGTATGGTGGTATATATCTGTAATCCTAATGACTCAGGAGGCTAAGGCAGGAGGCTTGTCAGTTTGAGGCCAGCCAGGTTAACTTAGTGAGACCCTGTCTCAAAATTAAAAGAGAGAGAGAGACAGAGAGAGAGAGAGAGACAGAGACAGAGAGAGACAGAGAAAGAAAAGAAAAATAAAGGGCGGGGGACACAGTTTAGTGGTAGTGTGTTCCTGGGTTCAGTCCTCAGTATCACAAAAAAAGCAAAGCAAAACAAAACAAAACCTAGGACATTGAAGGCATTGTTTTTCACACCAGTGGGTTGTGATATATAAGTGTGTCTTGATACTAGTTTAGTAGATTGTCACTGACACTGCAACAACAACAGCAATAATAATAACAATAAAGAAATACAATAGAAAGCACTGTATACACGAAGGATAAATTCATGGCTGGGCACTGTGGCTTAAGCCTTTAATCCCAGCAACTCAGGAGGCTGAGGCAGGAAGATCACAGTTCCAGACCTTAGCAACTTAGTGAGGTCCTATCTCAAAATAAAAATAAAAAGGGCTAGGGATGTAGCTCAGTGGCTAAGCACCCCTAGGTACCCTTCCCACCAAAAAGGGTAAATTCATGAAACTTGTTATAGTTGTATGTATGGCATCTATTTATTTATGTGTATTCTAAGTCATCTATGTTATGACTCATAGTCAGAAAAATTTGCAAAGCCACTGATTTAAGCTACTGTTGCCTTAGTCCTTGGAATTTCCCACTAGTCTCTCTCAGGCAAGAATGCCACTTTCCAGGTACCTCTGAGTCCAAATTTATCTAAGTTCCTTTCGATCTTTGGAAGGAAAGGGTCTTAGCAAATATGACTCATTATTTATCATGATTAATACTATTTACATTGACGATGAACCTGTGCAATAGCATGTATATTTATTTAACTTATAATATTTTTTAAAAATTAAATGACTGAAGAAATGTGATACAGCCAATATTTAATTAGTTCATATATATAACTGGTCCATGATATAGATATGAAAATTAGCATCTCTGGGAGGAGGAGAGATTTGCACTTCTCTTTTAGGACTATGTTAGAAGTTTTCTGTACAGTAGATCAGAAGCTCAGCATTTCAAATTATATTGAAAAGGTAAACAGTAAATTATGAATATTTTATCTCTTACTGAAGGAGAAAGTTTGACTATATTACTATAAGAATTCAGAAGAAGCTCTTAACCTATAATCTTGTTATATTTTTCCTATGAATATCACCAGCCCTTGAAGAATTTGCTTATGTTTCAGAATCATGAACACAAATAAATTAATATTCCACTTTTCACAAGTTTTGATTTTTGGATTTTGTAGAACCAACAGGATTTACATGAATCAAGTTTCTAATTTAAAAGGAAATTTCTGAGCTTTGTTCTTGTTAGTTTGCAGCAGTGAAACTGAGTCAGAATTCATAAACACGAGTTGGTCCAATGAGTTTATTACTGCCTCCATGGTACTTAATTAACTAGGTGATTAAGGTGCCAGATAATTCAAAAAACACCCATTTCATGCCATGGCAGTTCCCTGGACTCACCAAAATTTGTTTGTCTCATGAATGGAGACTCTGCCAACTTTCAGCTAGTTACTTGAGCAGGTTGATAGAGTGATGAAGCACATAGACCTAAGAGCCTGATGTATCCAGTTCAGATCTCTAATGCACAGTCTTGTTTCCTCCTTGGTAAAATGTATGCATCAGTGTTGGGTACTCTTAGGTGTTCTCAGGATTAAATGTAGGCAGAGTGCTTGCCAGAGAGTCTTGAATGTAGTAAGTGCTCTATAGGTAGCTTTAGCCCTTCCCCCCAAGTATATCCAAATTATTTTGTGTGTTTGGTACTGGGGAATGAACCCAAGGGTGTTCTACTGCTGGGTTACAACCACACTCTTTTTATTTATTTTTTATTATGATACAGAGTCTAAGTTGCTGAGACTCACCTCAAACTTAGTCTTCCTCCCTTAGCCTGCCAAGGAGCTGGGATTACAGGCATGTACCACTGCATTTGGGCATCCAAATTCTTTTTTAAAAACATATATAATGACTTTCAAGAGAAGATCCTAGGCATGTATTCCAGTGGTTGCAGAATATGCAACATCTCAGCATTCTCCTTTCATAGATTTCTTTGCTATTCTCTCTAGCTACCTGTTGATCATACCTGCCCAACTTCATCAAGATGGTTTTATGTCCAAAGCTGTCAGAATTGTCAGTACCTGTTGTTTTATACATAGCTTCAAAAAAAAAAGGTAATACATATTCATTTCAAAACCATATTCAAAGTTAAGATTTGTGAAGTTAAAAATAAGATATAAGCTAAAAAGTATAAGACTCCATCTTAATCACACTCTCAGTGTTAATAACATTGGTTACAAAATATGTGTGTAATATGTATTACAAAAAGAGAAAATGGAGTTAAACTTTATAATGTGTTGCAACTTTTTTTTCCACTTAACTGAATTTCCATTTATTTCACTCACATTGAATGTCAAATTTAAGCCAGGCACACTTGGACCCAGGTGTACAATAGTGAATAAGATAACCTTGATATCAGCTTTCACATACTTTCAAATTACTATACAAGAATCTGTTTCACTCTTTATAGATATATAATTATGTACTATAATTTCAATCTACTAATGTACCATAATCCATTTATCTAATGCTCTATTGGCAAATGCTGGAGATGTTTCTAGGTTTCCCTAGTAAGATGCTGCTGCAGTGAATATCTTTGTACATATGCCATGGTACTTGTTAGAATATTTCTGTAGGATAAATTCTTATAATTCTACTCCAAAAGATTTTGCCCAGATTATATTCCTATCCACAGCATATGAGGATGACTATAACCCTGTACTTTCACCAAAATGGACCTTATAAATCTATAGTGTTTATCAAATAAAAGGATAAAGAATTTATTAATTTTCATTACATTAATAATTAGAGACATAAAGGATATCAGTTATTTATTGATAAATTATTTCTCTTATAAAAATTATATATTTATGCCCCTTTCCCAATTTTCTATTATTAGTATTCCTTGTTGTTCATTTATAAGACCTCTTCCATGTGTTTGGGACTTGATTATTCTTGAACATTGTTTGAAGTGTGGTTTCAGACGTAGCCACTTTAAATGGAGATGACATATACTCATCAGAAGAAGATTGAGTAGCCATGTTATATTTATTAAAATAAAACTTCATTTTCCACAATATAAGAACATTTGAGAGAGAGAGAGAGAGAGAGAAATAGATAACCTCTGTAGTATTTGGCTCGTTCTAATTGTGTTATATCATTCTCTTAACCAAAAAAAAAAAAAAAAAAAAAAAAGAACCTTCATTGATTTCCTGTCACTTGCAGAAAAAGTCAAGGTCCTTTTGTTTTTGACTTTTCACCATTCATTGCCTTCACTCCAGCTAAGTTAGCTTATTCATGCTGCCCACTTGGTTTTTCTCTGCCCTCAGTCCTCCTCCAATGCTGTTCCCTCTTTTCTCCTCCCCAGAGGAGGAAGTACTAGCACCTTTTATTGGTCTCCTCAGATCTGACATCTTCATAAATCTGACTAAAAACTTCCCAGTTTATGATGATCTCCTTCTCTCCTTGACTCTTTGAACACTTGTCTCTCATATGATCTCTTATGCATTTGTCATAGATTACTATGGTTTGATCCCTTCCATCATGGACACTGGGAGTGTATTCCTAGAGAGCACGGCTGGTGATAGTACAAAACCTGACTGACAACTATCAACCCTCCCCTCTATCATGGCCCAGGCCTCCCTCCCACTAGCCCTGTGCTTTTTCAGCTGACAGATGTGTAAGTGTAACTGTGGGTACGCAGAGTTGTTCAGTGTTTGTGGGGAAACTACTCATCTGGGTGGGTGGCTACTTGTTTTAAAATTAAACACAGAAACAGAGTGTAGTATAAACTTGCATATGCTTTTTAAGATAAAGCATAAGAACATCAAAGAAAGTTTTTGTTGCTTATTTTCTTCCTGGACTTTGTACCATGCTTCTCATAGATATTTATTCTCCTTTGTCCTTCAGTGTTCTTTGAGGGGAAAGTTGGAAAGAGCATGACAGCCCACTTTGAACATCTGTTTTCTTCCTTCATTTCCAGTTTTCCTTTGCTCATTTTGAACCTTACTGCTGATATCATACCCTTTTGCTCTTTTTGCTTTGAAGGCCTGTTTTCCAGGTAGCCCCACAGGCCCTTCTCGTTAAATACTAGCATTCTGTCAGTACCTGCCCTGGCTTCCCATTCCTCAGCCTCTGACCCTGGCTGCCCATTTGCTGGAAGCAAGGGATCGCATCCTAGACTTGTTTGTGCATTCTTCTTGTCTCCCATGCTGGACTGTAAGCTACTAAAGGGAAGAGACTCTATCTTATGTTTCTTTCTTTTTGGGCCACACAGGTTCCATATTTAGTACTAGTATAATAAATATTTTTTGAATGGGTGAATGAACCTGGTATTATCTAAATAGACTTGAAAGGAACTTAATTGTCCTCTAAAAGTAGATACTATGTATATGCTGGGCTGCTTAGTTATTTCTCACCTACAACTTACAGTGTATTAGGGTCCTCAAACATGGCAACACAATTGTAGTCTAGATGTTTCTTATCATAACATTTGAGTCAACCAATTAAATGATTCCATAGCCACTTCTTTGCCTCTTTCCTTTCCAGTGGCATTTAGATTATGTTGTGTGGAGCCCTTGGAATTCTTGAATATATTCCAAGGACAGTTTCAGGAATCTGAGTTCTGGCACACCCTCTCTAATAGAGGTTTACTCTTATTTATTGAAGTTTCACTAAGATTGCATTTGAAAAAAAGGATTCACTTGGAAAACTGTTGATCTGTTCCATTGTCTACTGCTTTTCAGACCATTTTTTTGCTGAGTTAGAATCCCAGTCTTGCATGTTCCTTGTAAACATGGCCGCTATCACTGAAGGCTGCCAGATGGGACCTTAATAACATTGGCATAGGTCTGGAATGATGTGTCAACCTCAGGTCCTCCCTTAGTACAGAGTCTACTTCACATTCCTTTTCTTCTAACTCGTTCAGATTTGTGATGAAGAAAGCTGTACCTGGGCATGAAGGACCCTGTCTCCTTTCTCTTGTCCTTTCCTCATTGCTAGCATTTAACAAGCTATAGCTTAATCTTTCCTAAAACATGGCCAGCCTCTGCTGATTTTTGAGAGGAAATATTGTAGACCATGTAGCATAATCCTGTTCCTCTTATTATTTCCCACTGATAACTCAACTTCTTTCTGTTTATGCTAACATGCCATTACCTGATAAACGCAAGGAGTTGTAATGCATTCTTTTGAAAACTATACTCACAGCATTGTGCAACCACCAGTCTCTAGTTCCAGAACATTTTCATCATCACCAACAGAAATACATTCTTATTGTAACCTCTTGTGCAGACACTTATGCACTCTGATGCTAGCTTTTATGAACTGGATGAGAAGCTCTTACGGACATCTGTTGCCTACCCTCCAGCTGGAAGCTACATTTTCAATCTCCTTTTTCCTTATTGGTAAAGAACAATGTCTTACTCATAATACCCTATAGTATATTTGAAGATAATTAAGTCACTCAATAGCCATTTATTTCTTAGTAAAACAACTCAACTTCTTTAACTTTACCATGTTCCTTTAAGCACTTTTGTTGGATTTTTCATTATCTCCTCAAGTTTCTCCATGGCATCTTTAAAATAGGACAAAACTGGACATGGTGCAATAAAAATCTGACAAATACTGAGTGTAAAGCAGGGCTTGTACCCCACTTCTTTAAAATTCCACCAGTTTATTCTGCTAAGATAAGACCCCCAGCATGATACCCCAGGGTAGTGCTTGATGTTGGGTCAGTCAGAATGAGGAGTGGTGCTTATAACTTGCCTCAGGGATTAGGAGTTCCAGATATATACATTTGACTCACCTTGCCAGCTTGGAAACAAATGAAGGCATACATCCTTTAATATTTAAATGCATGTTTTTAGCCCTCTGCATGCTAGATTAATAAAGGATCTAATAGCACCCTGGGAGGCGTCCTCCAATTCCTGGAATTGTTAGTGACTCTCAGAGGCTTACTCAGTCCAGAGGGGCGAGCCAATTAAGGGAATACTGCTACATGGTCAACTATGTACTCCATAGTTGTATTTCCAAGTGCCTAATTATTATCTAGGTTTTCTTTATCAACACAAAACTCATGGGGTTGGGGTGCAGCTTAGTGGTAGAGTGTGTGCTTAGCATGTGCTGAGATTCTAGATTCAGTCCACACACACACAAAAATGAGGCTCATTATATCCCCACTTTTCTGCAACCTTCTGTTTTCTATTTCTCTGATGGCTCTAGTATTCATTCAGTCACCTGAGCTGGAAAGCTTGGAATTATCTTTCATTGATTTTTCTTCCTCACCACAGCACTCCACCCCCATCTACCTGTCCCCACTAGCTAATCACCATGCCCATTTGATTAAACTCCTTCAGAGTCTTCTTTCCATCTTCTCTCTCTACTCCTGCTCCCCACACAAATCCTGATAAAGATTACTATTGCCATGTAGACTTTAGCAATAATATTCTACTGGATTTCTGTCCCCACACCAGTTTTTGCCAGAATTGTTTTTGTAAAGGATGTATCTGATTATGCTGCATAACACTCATGCAAGGGAGCTGCAGGGAAAGCAGCATCCTTTGGGAAGTCATGTTTTAACTCAAGGAAGGAAGCAGAAAGTATGTGCAGATATTAGGGCAATCTGCTAACTAGAGTTTCCAGGCATATGGTTAAAAGAAATAAGGGTCAATAGGATGGGGAAAATAAGGTTCATTTTTCAGAGCAGCAGATCAGTATAAAGGGATTGGGGTAAAAGATGTTGGGAGATTTGGAGGAGAGTACCTTTCACTTTGTACCTGATGATCTTCATATCCCTGGGATCTGGGAGGTGCTCAGTGAATGTTTGTTTAAAAATTTATTTCTGGTACCTTTTCACTCTTTCCTGTTAATATATTTTTTGTTTACTGCCTTAGTGTTGCACTTATTCTATTGACTTCATTTTGTTTTTGATAAGCCATTTATTTCTTTCATATTACTTATTTGTAGGGCAAAGAAACAGTGACTGTTATTCATGTGTCTTCATAACAAGAAAGCACACATAGACAGATGTACAATGTTTATTTACAACCACATTCTGTATGTTGTGTGTTACCACCTAATTCTTTCATCACTTGGGCTATGAATAGTCAGGTCCCTAGTAGTGTATCCTTCTTTCGTGGCCAAATGAAGGAATACTGTATCATTCCATAATACTTATCACATGATGCAAAACTGTGTATCATAGAAATTCTTTTTTTTTTTTTAGAGGAGAGGGAGAGAGAGAGAGAGAATTTTTAGTATTTATTTTTTAGTTCTCAGCGGGCACAACATCTTTGTTGGTATGTGGTGCTGAGGATCGAACCTGGGCTGCACGCATGCCAGGCGAGTGTGCTACCACTTGAGCCACATCCCCAGCCCCCCATAGAAATTCTGTTTAAAGGGAAATATGGTATTGAAATTCAGTGACAAGTAGAATCCAGCGTCCACTCTTTTCTAGACCAGTCCATAGAGTATGATCACTAAACTCCCTTAAGAATTAAGGGATTGGGGTTGTGCCTCAGTGTTAAAGCACTTGCCTAGCATGTGTGAGGCAGTGGGTTCAACCTTCAGCACCACGTAGAAATAATTTAAAAATAAAGGTATTGTATGCATCTACCACTAAATTATCTTTAAATTCACTTAAGTTTGTTTTACCAATAATGTAGCAACATGGCACAGTTCTGTTAGAGCAAGGTTTTTTTTGTTTGTTTGTTTTTTTTTTGCTTTTGCTAAACATATTTTGCCTAGAGTTGCCTGTAAGTGAATACATAGATAGGCTTGGAAAGAAATTAGGAAAAGTGAACAGGGTTCCCTCTAGACTTCTATTGCTCTAGACAGCTCCTCACTCCCAAGAGTTTTTTTTTTCTCCAGATATCTATATGGAGAGAAGAGAGTGACTAATTAAAACTGGGAAGACAAAGAGAAGTAAACTAATACTTCAGATCTGTCTTGTATGCTTTCTGCCGTTTTTTGAAAATCAAAGAGCATGGCCTTCACTGTTAGAGTAACCCTTTTTCTGAGGACATATGTGTCTTTTAGAGGCATTAAATGCTCCATTTACATGTTGAAAACGTGGAAACCTGTAGCCCTCCTAGCTACTTCTGCATACCCCTTGGGTTATGTGTAGCATGAGTCTGGTTCAAACCTTCTCTTTATGATTCGGGAAATTGAAGTCTGAGAATACTGAATGTCTTATCTCATAGCTAGTGGCAAGTCAGTACAGTTGAGAAGTAAGTCCAGGTCTCAGGAATACCTGCCCAGCCTTCCCATTGTACCAACTAACATCTGTTTTCTGAAATTCTGTGCCTCAGCCTGTCTGTCTGCTTTCAGCACCCACTGCCCCCAGTTTAGTAGGCTGACTCAGCTGACTCAGTAGGGAACTACTTTAGTCTTTGGGTCACATTTCTAACCGTCTGCCCTCTCTTTCCCAAATGTTCGAAGTAACTACCTCTTTCGTTCTCTCTGAAAAAGCCCACCAGACCCTGCATAGGGGCCTGAGTTGCAGGACTTCCTCTATTCAGGTGATATCTTCAGGGGTGATGGCCTCAGTGCCTCCCTCCTTCCTTGGCTAAAGGAAATATGATTCCATTAGGCCCAAAGACCATTCTCGAATGCCCAGTTGTCCTCTAGGGAAGCCCAGCCTGTCTCCTTTAAGAAATTTGCGCCAACCAACCCTTTTTCAGCCTTCTCCATGATCTCTTGGCTTTCCTTTCAGAAGAGACATAGTCAACTATTATAGTTTACTATTTTCTTTCCTTTCAAATGTCTCACAGCAAGACAGACCTTGGGCTCTTTCCTGTGACATCAATCATCCTTGCTTCTAGTCTTCTGCCATCTTCTTTCACAGCTCTGCTTGGTCCCCACAGGTCATGACTTCTTTTATGTTTTGCCTTTAGAAGACATGTTTCTGAACACTGGAGGAGCAGCCCACCTACCCTAGACTCTTTCTTTATGTCTGTTGCCTTATTTCCTCATCTCTACCTGCAGCTTCAGAGTTTGGTTGTCAACATGAAAATATAAAAGTTATGCAAAACTCAGGTTGTATTTTCAGTCTTGTAATTTTCATGGGCTTAAGTTTTAGAACTCCAAAACTAAACTTAGGTTTCACAATTCTTATGACTTCTCTTTTTCATAATGGTAGAACTTTATCATAGAATTCTATCCTCAGAGCATATGTGGAACCTTGGACAAGATATACAACCCTTTTCCTGTGATGTATAGGATCAGTGTGCAGAAGTAAGCTGACACTGGCTCAAGAACCTGTGTCCTTACAGGGAGCCTCAAGAAAAAGGAGAGGAAAGGCAGCCAGCCACCCACTAGCTTGTACCCCTAAAGATCAGCCTATACATCCCCTTCCCTACATTGTGACCAACCTAACCAAGAGTTGAGGGTGGAAACCACACAGGAAATATGCTTCCTCTTGCCCATATTGTTCTGTTAACTAACCAGGAAAGTATATGTTTTGATGCTGAAATTACCACCACATTTACCTATAGACTTGTTCCAGAATTCCCTTAGGAACTCTTCCACCTTGCTACATTTTTGCAAGTTTAGGAATCCATGTTTTTTCTTTATTCATCACTGTTCAATATTAAAGAAGAATTAGGATTTTCATTACCATTTTTAAAAATTGAAGGGGTTGAGGATGTAGCTTAATGGCAGAGGGTGTGGTTAGCATGAGCAAGTTCCTGGGTTTGATCACCAGCATGCCCCCCCAAAAAAAATGAAGATATTTATTTCAAAATAGGGTGTAAAAGTTCCTTATATAGTATCCAATAATATAATACATACATTAATAAATATACAACTAGATAATGCAAATACCTAGGTTATTCAACTACCAGTTCTGAAGAGAAATCTAGTTTATATGAAGCTAAGTGCATTCAAATATCATTACGTTATATGTTTACTTGCAAGAGCTGTTTTTTCCTAATAGACACTTTCTTTTGACCTTTTTCTGTAGATTTAAATTTTAAACATTTAATAAAATGATTGTATGAATGTGTATATGTATCAGCATAAGACTTTAATTCTCAAGTCAGATGAAAACTTTTTCTTAATTTCTGCAAGGATACTGGCTTTTTGCAAAGTTTAAGAAGATAATACAGAGCCAAGATGTAGCTCAGTGGTAGAGCACTTGTCTAGCATGAGCAAGACCCTGGGTTAGTATTTAAAATAACTCCTAACAGGTAACAGTATCTTCTGATAATAATATTGGTAGAAAATTTTATATCCATATGATTTTATAATCCTCTTTAGGTCCAGTATAGAGACCTTAAAGAAAAAAATGACTAAGGGAAAAAAATTTTGTAAGTAAATGGAAAGAAAAATCTGGAGATTGGTTGTATCACAGTGTAAATACCCTTAACTCTACTAAAAATGATTCAGATGATAAATTTTATATTAGGTTTGTTTTATAATAATTTAAAAAAGAAGTAAATGTAGGTGAAGTGTCGTTTAGTCTGTTACCTTTTACATGAAATTACAGTGTTAGCACTGAAGTGGAGGTGGTAGTTGTATTTGGGCAGAGCAAGGAGGCTTGACTTTCACCCTTTTGGTGTTCCTATAGCCAATTACCTGGAGTGGTCAGGGATTCCTGGGACATCCTCTGACTGGTGTGATGAGAGTGAAGGTACTAGAAGACAGTCTCCTTGCTTGTCATGCTGATACTCACTACATCTCTGTCTCCTGTTATCCTCTCTGAAAGTGATGTCTCCACCAACAATGTGTCATCCTGAAGGACATCTGCTGGACAGTAGCACTTATGGTGTGCTCTGCAGCCCATTGTCAAAAAGTTGCATCCCAGTGAATAGCATGCATTCTTCTTTGTTTTGGCACCTGCCTCCTGAGGTTAACATAGGAGCATGTGGATGGTTGTGGCTGAAGCTAGGACTCTAACCTTCTAGTCCTGTCCTTGGTCTTCTGTTTCAGTCAGCTTACTTATGACCTGACACTGTCATTCAGAAAATGCTTCCAAAGAGGGATTTGAAAGTTTGTCCCCAGTGATGCTCACTAAGGAAACCTTTTTTTCATAAGAGTACTTGTCCAGAAAGGGATTAAAATGAGATTCATCAGAACTATGATCAGTGTCTTTAGACTACAGCCAGATTTCCTGCCTTTAACTTTTTTTTATTGGTTGCTCAAAACATTACATAACTCTTGACATATCATATTTCATACATTTGATTCAAGTTGGTTATGAACTCCCATTTTTACCACGTGTACAGATTGCAGGATCACATTGGTTACCCATCCAAGTTTTACATACTGCCATGCTAGTTTCTGTTGTATTCTGCTGCCTTTCCTATCCCCTTCCTATCCCCCTCCCCTCTCCTCCCTCCCATCTCCTCCCTCTACCCCATCTTCTGTACCATTTCTCTCTCTTATTTTTCCTCCTTTCCCCTCACCTTCTCTTACATGTAATTTTGTGTAACAATGAGGGTCTCCTTCCATTTCCATGCAATTCCCCTTCTCTTTCCCATTCCCTTCCTCCCTGCTCTATTTTGAGTAGCCCTCCTTATATCAAAGAAGACATTCGGCATTTGATTTTTAGGGATTGTCTAGCTTCACTTAGCATAATCTGCTCTAATACCACCCATTTCCCTGCAAATGCCATGATTTTGTTATTTTTTAGAGCTGAGTACTGTTCCATTATGTATAAATGCCACATTTTTTAATCCATTCATTTATTGAAGGGCTTCTAGGTTGGTTCCACAGTCTAGCTATTGTGAATTGTGCTGCTATGAACATTCATGTAGCTGTATCCCTATAGTGTGCTCTTTTTAGGTCTTTGGGGATAGTTTGAGAAGAGGAATAGCTGGGTTGAATGGTGGTTCCATTCCCAGCTTTCCAAAGAATCTCCATACTGCTTTCCAGATTGGCTGCACCAATTTGCAGTCCCACCAGCAATGTATAAGTGTGCCTTTTTCCCCACATCCTCGCCAGCACTTGTTGTTGTTTGACTTCATAATGCTTCCATTCTTACTGGAGTGAGATGGTATCTTAGGGTGGTTTTGATTTGCATTTCTCTGATTGCTAGAGATGGTGAGCATTTTTTCATGTACTTGTTGATTGATTGTATGTCCTTCTCTGTGAAGTGTCTGTTCAGGTCCTTGTCCCATTTGTTGATTGAGTTATTTGTTTTCTTATTGTTTAATTTTTTGAGTTCTTTATATACTCTGATTATTAGGGCTCTATCTGAAGTGTGAAGAGTAAAAATTTGTTCCCAGGATGTAGGCTCCCTATTTACCTCTCTTATTGTTTCTCTCCTGCCTTTAACTTTTTTATGAATTACTTAAGTTTATGGAATCCATTTCCAAATAAGGGGGTTTTTTAGTCTATTTTTATTTATTAATTTACAGTGCTAACTTTGGCTCTGTTTCTATTAGGAGATGAAAGCATGGAAATTAAAAAACAAATTACAGGGATGAGAAGATTACTGAATGACAGCACTGGAAGGATATATCAGCGTGTTGGCAAAGAAGGAGAAAAATTAAAAGAAGAGCCCCAGGATTTGGATTTAATCTGGCCTCAGCGTTTGAACTCCTCTGCTGAGGCCCCACAGAGCCTCCATTCTTCTTCACGTGGTGTGTGGAATGAGCTATCACCTCAAAGCGGGCAGTTCTCAGGGCAGTATGGCACCCGTTCTAGAACCTTCCAGAGTCAGCCCCACACCACTACAAACTCCAACGGTATGGTTGCCATCAATCATTCAGAGTTCACTTGTGGGGTTTATCCTGGCTTGTTTTATCTCTAAATATTCAGTCAGTTTTCTGAGATCAATTTATTAAACCCCACCTTAGTTAACCACCTTCACTGATTTATTTTAAAAGACAGGGAAGACGTAAAGAAAAAAGTATATTAAAAAAACTCAGAACTGAGAATCAGGGAAGACAGAGGTGCTGTGTTAGACATGAAGATTCCCTAGTAGTAGTTTCAGCCCCTTAAGAAGTTAAAGTGGGGCTGGGGTCGTATCTTAATAGTAGAGTGCTAACCTCGTATGTGGAAGGCACTGAGTTCGATCCTCAGCACCACATAAAAATAAAGGTATTGTGTCCATCTACAACTAAAAAAGAAAGAAAAAGTGATCATCTCTTGACAAACAGTTGTTATTGCTACAAAAGCTCCACTTTATCACTATAAGAAACTTCCTGGTCATCTGTTGTATTATTAATGTAGCTTTTTGCTTCTTTCTTCATGTTGCTTTATTGTGAGAAATAATGAGAGGGAGACTGAGAACTTTTAGCCTCTTGTGTGACTTCCCCGCTAACTCCACTCCAGTGCTGAATCATAGAACCTATATTTTATAACTTGCTTCATTAGCACTGAAAAGTATTCCTTTAAAGTAAAATTTCCTTAATTTAAAAATCCCTGATTGTTAAGGGGAAAAAAAAACAATTTTTTTAAGCTTAAGGAAAAAATTTATGCTTTTCTTGTTCATATAAATTTTTCATCCAGTGACATTGGATATTATTTGTTTATAAGTTTTGTATAGATATATAGTTTTTACATAGATAAAAGGTATTTTCTATTTCCTCAAAAAATTAAGCATTTTCTTCTATTATTTTCATTCCATGATATCCGTCAAGAAAAAAAGAACTGTTCTGAATTTTTTTTTTTTTAAACACAATTCTCAATACTCAGTTCAGGGACATGGAAAACCATCCTCAGACACTGACAAGGCAGTGAGGGACCCCAGAGATGCATGGTGTCTTTTCTCCCTCTCACTATTACATAAGCCAATGTCAGGTTCACATGTGGGTGTGAGGTAGGTGGCTCGTTAAAGACTCCTCCAAGCAAATAAAAAGTCTCCCTCTAAAATTAGAAAATTATGTATAATAAACTGAGAAGGGTTGGTTTTGTTCTATTCCCCTGAAAAAAATAGTATTTAGAATAGTGCCTAGGAATATTCTGTAAAGCCCTTTCAACTAACTACTGCTGTGGAAGAGATAATAAGAGAAATAAAATGTCCTTTGGTATATATGAAGTTGGTGAGCCTTACATAGGTAACCTTGGGGCAACAAGAATTCTGCTTTCTAATCACAATAAGGATGGTGGATTTGTTTGGGGAATTGTTATTACTGTTAATAAAATTTACAAATATAAATTTTTCCCTGTAAGCTTGAAAATAGATCTTTTTGTGCTTATTGTTTTAATACTTTCATTAATAATGCTTTATACATTTGACCCTTGAATAACATGGGTGTGAACTGTGCAGGTCCACTTATAGGAGGACTTTTTTATTTTTTTGAGATTTGTAACAATATGAGAAAACTTGCAGATAAACTTTGTAATCTGCAGATAGCAAAACAATTTAGTAAAGGTAGATACATAATGAATACATAAAATAAATGTAGGGAATAGTTTATTTCATAACTTGCTACCATAAAATAAACATACATGTATTATAAAAATATTAAAATTTATCAAAACTGATACACATGAACACTGAGCATGAAACTACATGTCTTTATGTACAGTTGAAAGAAATGTAAACAAATGTAAAGATGCAGTATTAAATCATAATTGCATAAAATTAACTAATACATACTGTACTAGGCATAATTTTGTAGCGGACTCCTGTTGCTACTGTGGGGAATAAAAAATTAGAGGGAGACAGGCATGGTGGTATGTGCCTATAATCCCAGCAGCTCAGGAGGCTGAGGCAGGAGGATCGAATTCAAATCCAGCCTCAGCAAAGGCAAGGCACTAAGCAACTCAGTGAGATGCTATCTCTAAATAAAACACAAAATAGGGCTGGGGATATGGCTCAGTGGTTGAGTGCCCCTGAGTTCAATCCCCAATACCAAAAAACAAAAAGTTGGAGGGAAATGTTATAACTGAATTTTCAACTGCAGGGTAGTCAGTTCCCCTAAACCCTGCTGCATTGCTCAAGAATCACCTGCATGTATCTGTTACTACTTTGGTATTTCACTGGAATTATTTGCAAATTTAAAGTTGTAACATGTCAGTTTGCTACAATTTTGAGCTACTTCAAACATTATCTTCTAGCATTTCATGGTTTTGCAACAGTGAACTTTTTAATATCCACAAACAATGCATTTTATATAACTTAAATTACATCTAATGTATAATAAAACATACTTTTGGAACAAAATCTTAGAACTTACCTCACCCACCTTTCAGAAAACTTGAATGGTAGCTGTCTTTTAAACTTCTTTCTTTTGTCGGGGTGAACATTGATCTTGGAGGGTACGCAAGTCAGAGTTCTTTGCTAAGTGTGCCATTTTATCCCAAAGTCAATAGGGAGCCTATATTTGTTTATATATAAAGCAAACAGAATAAGATAGTCTTATTAAGGCAAATATTATATTAAATTTAAATAGTGAAAAAGAGACTGGGCCATGTATGTACAAAATATCAAAATAACTCTACTATCATGTATATCTAAAAAGAACAAATAAAATAATAGACTAGGGTGTTGCTCAGTGGTAAAGAGCTTTCCAAGCAGGCACAAGACCCTGAGTTCAATTCCCAGCACACGTGAACACAGACGCACATGTACACACACAGAGCAAGAGAGTAGTATAGTGTAGAGACTGTAAGAAATGGAAATGGGTAAAAGATTTCCTATTCTACCCTGCTCGCCCACCCTCCCCACCGCTGGCATACCCGAGCAGTGAGTATTCTACAATTTTTTATGTATTCGAAGCTCTTCACTTTTTAAATGACATGCTTATTATTAAAACTATTTTTAATAGTTTCACTCAATATGAACTTTGATATCATACACAGCTACCAGTTGTTTTTTAAGGCTATTCTCAGAGCTAGTTTTTTGGGGTTTTTGTTTTTTGTTTGGTTTTTTTGTTGTTGTTGTTGTTAGTTTGTTGTTTTTGTTTTTGGTGCAAAGTAGCCTGAGTGTGTTTATAGTGACTTTTGGGGTATTGTTATCTGAGACTAACTGGTCTGACAGTAGGGAGGCCTGCTGTGGCAGCTCATTGTGTGCATGTGTTTATGCAGGCCCTGCCACCTGTGACACAGTAAGCATCTCATAATACAGAACCCTCAGTAATTAGATAAATTCAGACCCAAAATTTAGGTTGTGAAAATTATTTGGTATATTTCCTCAAGCACAGTTTCAAAATAATTGCATATGTTTCAAAATCCTGTCAAGATCCTTTCTCTTTATAATTTTGTTTGTTTGTTTGTTGGGAGTATGCTATTCTTTTCTTTCATGCTTAGGAGAACTTCCCATGGTGAATTCGTCAGTTGGATCAAACTGCTGTACGTGTAACTGCCAGTCAACATTGCAGGCCATTCTCCAAGAACTCAAGACCATGAGGAAATTAATGCAAATTCAAGCAGGTACAAAGATCAGGCCTCTGAACGTGTCCATTCGTTAATGTACATCTGACATCTTCAATTGGGATGTTCATTGCTCTTTTGTTACAGAATCCTTCCCACCTTGTGTCTTTTCAAGTGTCCATTTTTTATGCTTTTTTTTCCTACAGTTCTATTTTTTCTTTTTGTTAGCAAATCAAAATTTTTATTGTCCCTAATACTACTCATATGCTTATGTACATTTACTCCATATACTTCATCCTACAATCTCCTGGTACTTGACAAATGTCAGTTAATTAAATTCTGGAACATACTACGTGAAAGAGCCCTTTAGGAAGTACAGTCTTTGCTATTGAAGCTGTTCAAGGATGTGAGTAGTTGAGAAGTGTTGAGCCACAGACTCTGCTTGTGACGTTTCTCTCTCACCTGCAGGATGTAGAAGCTCAGAGACACCTCACATCTGTCCCCTTCATTTTTTGACACCTTTTGTTTATTCTCACCGCCATTGGACAAGGTGAAGAACAGAAAAGCAGCAGATATGTAATTGGGACTTGGATACCCAGTTTCTCCTATCTAGCTGTATGACTTGTGAGCTTCTCAGTTCTCAATCTGTAAATAGAGTATTAATTTCTAACTCACAGGGTCGTTTTGATATCAGGAGATAGCAAATGAAATGAACTTCATAAAGCATGATGCAAGCATGAGTTTCTCATTAGTGCTTTTAAAGAAAAATACCATGAAGCATTTTATAGAAGTCTGGAAGTCAAGATCTTCATTTAGTGGATTATTTTCAAATCACCATAACAAAGAAAATCAGATTTTTTTGGTCAAATGTACAAAAACATAAACTATTTTATCAAGTCTTCTCTTTTGTTAGGGGAAACTACTGGCTTGATAAAAGTTATAATAAAGCAGAAAAATAGCACAGCCCCATTATGATTAGTGTCCTACTCTTTCATCATAGTAGTGTTTGGAAGCATTATGGCTCAGAAACTGTTCTTGGTGCCATTGAGTGAATTCTAGTAAAAACCCTAATATTAATTGATGTGGTTTAGATATAAAAAGCTTAATACTTAGACATATCAGCCATCTAAAATACATTAGAGTAAGGCGAGCTAGAGACTTTGTGAAAGCAACATCTTTTTAATGCTGAATTTGGTCTTATCCCAAGGCAAAAATAAGCATTTTGCTTAGGTCAGTAAGCATTTGACTCACCTTGCTCCACGACAATAATCTGTGTCTTATCAACCTGGCAAAGGTTAACATCTTCTAAAGTAGGGCTTCAGAAAGAAAGGTTACTTTATTATTACTGAGATTCTTTTTTCAAAGGAAGAATCTGTTAGCACTTAATAAAATATATATATGAAATTATAATGATTTATTTTGTTACTTAAGCTCCTTACTACTGAAATGGCAGACTACAAATTGCAGTCATTTAAATTCTTGACTGAAGCCTTTCTAGAATCTATTAAGTAAATGCCACTTTGTCACCATGTTTTCTTTTCTGAACCTTTGCAGATTAGGAAGGTAAACAATTCCAAAGCTGTTGATAGTGCAGAGGATAAACTGAATAAATTACACTCCTGTAGTTTTCTTAAACTTTAAAATTTGTGTTGTATGGGTAGACGTACTTAAGGTTTATTGGCTGTAAGAATTAGATTTAAATTATATTTTGAAAGTTTCACCTGTATTTTAATGAACAGTCAAGGAGTAAGATCAAGTTAAGATCCAGAAGCCAGAAGTGGGAGCTCTGTCTAGAATTGCAAAAGGAGAAGGAAAACTCATATCATCCTCTGTGTTCTGCAAACCAAAAACATTTTCTCTTTTAATCTGAAATAGTGGGGCTTAGGGTTGTGGCATAGATGAGATTGAACATCACTTTGGGGGTCTATTTGACAGGCCAGAGCTAGCCCGGAATAAACACAGAACAGAGAGAAGTCTTCAACTCTGGCTGCATGTTAGAACCACTGGAGGAGCTTTAAACATTAACATGGGCTGGGGCTGGGGCTCAGTGGTAGCGCACTTGCCTGGCATGTGTGAGGCATTGGGTTCAATTTTCAGCAATGTATATAAATAAATAAAATAAAGGTCTATCAACAATTTAAAAAAATATACATATATATGTAT